AAAATCCGCACAGGCAAAACCGCAAGTAACAGCTAGTATACAAATATAAACATCTAAAAATCCAATTATAATCAGTTTTTAGATGATGATGATGATAAATAAATAATGGCATTTTTTTAAAGCCAAGTAGTTTTATGGTTGTGGATTAATAATAGGATAAAATATTTTACTTTCAATTTTAATAATTCAGCAATTATAAAAAATATGTAACTGTTAATTAGAAAAAGTAACCAACTAAAAAGTTGGCAAAAGTATATGTGCACAGTAAGTCAAATTCTGTTTTTTGTTAATATGCCACACTGTAAGGAATGTGAAGGTCTGAATTTGTATAAAGTTGGTCAGGGAGTCATAAAATTTAAAACAAAAATTTGAATAAGAACCCTGAACATAACTCGTGCCAATGAGTAATAGTTTATGAGAAATCATTGTTTAAACTTTTGCGTGCATTATATATTGTGTTCTATGAACAAATTGTGAAAAAAGTAAGCATAAATGAGTGAGTAAAGCGCCAGGTTGAAAAGCTCGACATCACGGATTTATCTTGCTTTTCTTCAACTTTTTATCACAATTTTCTTCTGAAGTGTCAAATCCAGTGAATTATTAGAAAATATATTTGGCCAAAAAATACTTTTTTGTAATTTAATAATTACAAAATTACCACAGAAGGCAGGAAATGCTGGTGCAAAATATACAATTTGGTTCCATACAATGAATGGAACAAAATTGTATATTTTGCATCAGCATTTACACCCCACACTTGCACTGTAGCTGAAAACTTGATTTCTTGCTTCAAGCAGTTTTGGACAAGTGCTTCATTGCACATCTCTTTGTCCAGTATTTCTGTAGAGGACAGAAGCATAAATCTTCAGACCAAATCATCTTCCACCATTGAGTATCTATCCAGGACAGGTTGTCCTTGCCTCTTGCATTCTACTACTAAAATTGAACATGGGATTCAGCTTACTTGTGTATGTAATCTGTTTGCCCTGTATTGCAACAAACTGCAACTGTCTATACATTCAAAATTCTGCTGCCTCCACAAATGTAACAGGTCAGTATTTTATGAGAAAGAAAATGCAAAATGTGATTTTCCCTGGCAGTAGTCATTGGCAGTCTGTTCCACTGCATCTGAAAGCAGCAATAGTATTCTGACAATAGACTTGTTCAGATGTAATTCCTGAGAAATCTGCACATGGACACTCCATTGTATTTTTCTGGATATGCTCACATACTGTAGCAGTTCAAACCTTTTTCTTCCATTGTTTTTATACTGCCTTTTGTTTGGCATATTAGCAACCGTGCAAGGCACAAAGCAGCAAAGTTTTCAAGTCAAGCAATGGTTGCAAATGTAGGGTGCATATAAATTTTTTGCCTCTACATTTTGAGTAAAATGTTTCCAAGAATACACTGAAATGCCTGTTACAGTGTATGTACCAATTTTTGTTGTAGAGGAGAACTTTGTTTTGTAAATGTTTACTTATAAATTGCTAATGATTCTGCTTTTCTTACTCTGTGTGATAATTACAGTACACACAGGATCAAGGGCTGGCACTACCACATGGGCAAACTGGGCTTTTGCCCAGGGCAGCAAATTTTTGTGAATGAAAATAATGAAGAGTGAAACTATCATAGTAGTGTAAGTGAAATTAATCTATTTTAAATAAAATTTAAATTTAAAAACATTCAAAAATTTCTTCTCATTTCTAATAAGTATGCATTTTAAAACTTTTGTTTTAATGTTGAGAGATAAGGGGCACAAATGCATGTCTTGCCCTGGGTGGCATAAACTCTAATGCTGGCCCCATGCAAGATATATATACAGTACATTTACTGCCATGGGTAAGGTATTTGGAGAAATTTTCATTGATCATGTTTATATGCTGTTTGAATATGCAAATTTGTAATTTGATTACTGGTTTGAGAATTTTTTATTAACACATCTATTGTAAATATTTGAGAATAAATTTATGTAAAAAAGCAGTTTTTAATAATCATTTTTAAATGTCCATTCTTATCAGATAATACAGATGAACAGCATATAAACATAATATAGATTTTATCTGAAATTATCAAAACAGTTTTTTGAGGGTTGACATGACAGGCCACAAATGGAAAATTCCTAGTAGTATTGGAAATGTTTGTGTTCTTCCCAGGCCCTTTTTGCCATAAAACTCACCAAGCTGTAAACTTTGTGAACATCTTTTAAAAATATTTTCACTCTACGTTAAGGCATGTTTAAAAAACATATTCATATAAGCATTAAAATTTTTTTATTAAAAATTAATAAAAATTCCTAATAGTAAATTGATTCAGTTTACATTTGCTGGAAACTGAAGAGGTTGTGATCTAAAGACATTACGTTTCCAGTAATAGCAAAGTGCATTTTGTTAAAAATTCCTAAATAAAATAACACAAAAAAGAAATAAAATCAGATGAAAATACTGTATACAGATACAGTAATATCTCAGTTTTGTCGAAAATTGTCTTGGTTTTCATCAGTTGCCTCGGATTTCGTTGGTGTGTTCACATGACCTCACTGCTAATTTTGCAAAAACAAAGGTGACCCACACATTTCCCCCTCTCCCCTCCTCGCAGTCGTCCATATGCCAAGAAGTCTTCAGAAAGGTAAATGCCATGTTAAATGTTCATTTATTCTTTACATATTAGTCTTTTATATTCATTTTATATTAATTTCTTATTGTTTTTTGTTTTAAACACTGTTAAACACTATAACAAATTTATTCTCTATAAAATGTTTTTGGTATGTATTTTGGAGTGTCTAGAACAGGGGTGTCCAACCCGCAGGCCACATGCGACCCAATAAATGTGTAAACAAAACCGACAAATTTTTTAATTATTTATTTATTTAAATGGCATAAACCTCAAAAAAGAAGTTTCACAAAGCTGTAAACCTTTATACATATTTTATTTTTTAATAGGAAGGAAATATTTTCAAATACAGTAGAGCGTCGATTTTCCGAATCAATTGGGAACTGGGATTGTTCGTATAATAACTGATATTTCGGATAACTGATTTATGTACGAAAAAATAGTTTAACGTATCCGATATCAAAATTTTTCTCCGTTGCGTGTCGCTTTGCGTTGAATTTTCGTCGATGTTAAGCCTAACAAAGACTATTGTATCGTTAAAAATTATTTTTTTTATTTTGTACAAACAAAATAAATATATTGAAAAATATAAAAATAATAAAAAAATTATACTTCAGATGTTAATTTAGTATCAAAAACGTAAAATATTTGAGTAGCCCAAGATGTAGCAAAAGATTGAAGCGCCACAGCACTGGCGAAAGTTTAAATTTGCCGACTGGAATTCTTTCGGATGATTGACTTTCGGAAAATCGACGCTCTACTGTACTTGAATGTGTGAATGAAGAAAGAATACTAAATAAAGCTGGAGTCATGACTCAAAGGATTATAGCCCCAAATTCAAGGAAAGGAGAGAAAGGCCAAAAGATAAAAAGAAGTGAGAAAGGTTGGAAAGTTAAGGATCAATGTTTGCATAACAGAAGGTCTATTTAACCTCTCTCTCCTTTCCCCAAATTTGTGTCTATAATCCTTTGAATCCCAACTCTAGCTTTATTTAATATTCCTTTCAGCATTGCAAGATTTGGCTACCCTTTTTTTAGTTTGGCGTAAAAAATATAATTTGTATTGTATTTTGGGTTACATATTATTTATAAATATATTAGTCGAATAAAAATGCACTTTAAAATGGTGTTTCATTGTTTTTTTATTAATTAAAGACCCCCCAAAAAAACAAATATTTGTTTTTTCAAATAAATTTTTCTCCTTTATAATAAATAAATTTATCTATTTCTAAGTAGAAATTAAAAGTGTCTGTAGAAGTAATTTTTTTAAAATATCCTTTTTTGTGCTAAAGTTTTAATACTTATTAATATAATCTAGACATGTAAACCCTTAAATAGCAAGGTAGAGGCCGAAGTTTTAAAGGCGAAAACATGTATGTCAGACGTTCAGCGCCGCTTCCTGTAAGCCTAGAAGTTTGACAATGGTGTTTGGAATGTCAAGCATGATTCCATTGTCTATCCAAACACCATTGTCAAACATCTAGAGTTACAGGAAAGCGGCGCTGAATGTCCGACGTACATGTTTTCGCATTTAAAACTTCAGCCTCAACCTCGCTAATATACTTGTGGCCAGAACTCCATGACTTCTTCTAATGTGGCTCAGAGAAACAAAGGTTGGACACCCCTGGTCTAGATCGAATTAATTGGATTTACTTTGATTCATATAGAAAAATTTGTCTCGGTTTTGGATTTTGCCAATTGTTTTTGGATGGATTAGCGACGAAAACTGAGGTATTACTGTATTCCAAAATCCAAAACATTGTTGGTCTCAAGAATTTTGAATAAAGGATTCTCAACCTGTAGTTATGTTTATTAATGCAAAGTTAGTGCGTGAAACAGGCTCCGAGATACACCTGTGAAGACTTATGTCTGCTCACACCAAAACTGTCAGAACTTTTCATGGAGTTTGGAGAGGACATTACACCAGAAGTGAAATTCATTTCCCCCCTCAGATTTTGGAGTTATCTGGTGTAAAATAAGACGTCATCTGTAACTGTGTCCAGGTTGTTTTTGGTCCTCAGTTACCTTTGTTCAGTCATCTTGTTTGATTTTCTAACTGCTTTTCAGAGTGTTCTTTTAGGAATGCCTTTGCATTTAAAATATTCCATATAAAAATGCCCTTTATCAAATTTCTAGTATAAAACTTTCCAACGATTTATCTGTGTTTGGACTTTTAGTCCTTCCATTTCTAAACTATTTTCAAAAGAAATGAGCATTCAGAATTAAATAACTTATGCAACAGAAAATCTGTATGTTAAATTTGTTTTTGTGCATGCATGTGCATAAAAAATTATTATTATATAGGGGTGTAAACTAAAAATTCAGTATGATGATATAAGTTTTTACATGAAAAGAATTATAAAATTTAAAAACTGTTTAATTAAAATAGATATAAACATACATATACTCTATATGTCATAGGCAGAAATATATATATATATATATCATATCAGATTTTAACAAATGCATTAAAATACATGTTTTCTTTTTATAATTTAACTTAAAAAAACATAAGTTATTTCACCTGTAAGTTTTAAGATGATCGTTTGTGCTTTGTCTTAAAAAAAAATCCACGTATTTAGACTTTTTAAAGAAACTTAATAAAAACAAGAAGCATACTCTGAATCTCATTTTAGTTGTTTAAATCCTGAACTTTTTTCCTCACTTTGTTGAGTACATCTTTCATTTTTTCATAAGTTCCGGTAGAATTTGGCAAATTTTCGAAAGGCAAGTGGTCCGAAACTCCAAGAGAGAATTTTGAAGGATTTGGTAAATTGTTGAATGGGTTGTGAGAAGTTACCACAGGAGTTCCTTCAATGATGGACAGCGAATTACTATATTTGATAGTTCTTTCCACAGAATTTTGGCTGTTGTCACTAACCGTGTCGAGTTCTTCCAACTGCAATGAATGTTTCGAATCCTGAGATAAAGAACAGTCTTTATTACTGTCACTGGTTTCTGATGTCTTTTCTAATTCCAACATTATTTGCTGTTTAACTTCTTCTAAATCTGAAAGACTCAGATATGTCATTCTACCAGATGATATTTTCTCCTGATTTGAAATGATTGAAAAATTTTCTTCCGGTGGCGGAGGTGGAGGTAAATCCGAGGAGCTGTCGGGTGGTAATGGAGGAATAAACTTGCACATTTGGGTTTCTTTCTCATCCAGTTCTACCAGTTCTGTTCCTGAAAGTAAATGCTGTTTTATTATTCCAAACAAACAAAACAATAGAGTTGAAGTAATTGATACCAACTTCGTCTGCCAATATTTTGTATTTGAGAACAAAGTATATATTCTTATAAGAACAATGTTTTCAATTTTATATTATTTTATTTAATAACATTATTTTTTTAATCATGTACTTTTATTCAGAACATTTTACATTTCTGATATTGACAACTTTATGAAAGTTATTGTTTCTGCATTAGATTTACACATTTACACTAACATTATAAAATATATTTTATTATGTGGATACAAATTTCTGTTAAAATTTATAATAATAATCATATGCTGGTTTTTTTTTACTTTAGTAGTAGATTCAAAATATATAATAATCTTATTTATGTAATAATAAATAAGAGAAATTTTGTTTAATGGTTTGAATCTTATAAACAAAGGATAAATTATGAGGACGACAAATTTGGTAGTTTTTCAATATGAAAGTGACATATAGCAAAAAAATACATTAATATAAAAAATAATTAGGTAATAAAGAATTAGTCTTTATTATTATTTTTTCCCCTAATCAATAGATTATTTATTTTTAAATTATAATTGAAATAAATACCAATATCATCTACATCCATATCTTGGCAATCTTGATCTAGCCTCTCAACTTTGCGTTTTTTATCAGGCTTCACATCAAGTTTTCTTTTTCTGTATGGAACAGCTTCCTAAAAAGTTATTTTTTAGTTTTTATTAATTGTAAAACATAAAATATGGATATTTCAAAATTTATGTTATATTAAAAAAGCTTACAGGTGCTTTCATTTTTTTCTCTGCCTCAGAACGTAAATGACTAAATTGCATGGATGGCATTTTTAATGTTTTATATTCCTAAGATATTAAAAGTTTTTTATTAATCCATTTTTGAATGAAGAAATAAAATTAGAAATAATAATATAAGATCTTGCACTTATATACTTTAAAGAAAAAAGCATGTAAGATTAAAGGACTCTTTTAAAAGAAAATTTTAAAACATTTTATCTGACAAATTGCATTTTCATTTAAAAATATTTTTTTAAAGGTCCTTATAATATTACATCATCATCATCATCATCATTTATATATTAATAAGATACAAAGACATTATGTAAATTAGATCATTTAAGAAATTCAAAAAATTTTCTGCTTTCTAATAATTAGTCTTAACTTTGTGTATCCTCTTTGCTCTTGGATTTCTGAATGAGACCCACCTCCCAATCATAAAACATGCAATCAGTGAGGGTTCAGCCCTTGACTACTATGACATAATTTTTAAAATGTTTCCAATACATCTATAAATCACAGAATTGATTGACTATTATTATATTGTCACATGTTTAGGCTTTCTGTTATAGATGGTGATGCACCAGCAATATCTGAGATACACACATCCCTTTATTGACATTCAACATATTTAAAAATGGCTACAAGCAATTCTTTCTTCAATTTTATTTGTAATGTGATTTGGAAGACTATCATGCATTGTGTTTAAAATGTTATATTGATGTAAACATCATATTGACAGATATGTACTGTACTGTACCGTACATTGTATTAAGTTTGGGTATTAAAAACTAAAAAATGTTCTACTGAGATTAACTGAAGAGTTCTTCTGCAGGTATATACACACATATTACATGTGCCTTTGATTTAAACAATAAATATTCGTAGTGTATATGTTGCAAGTATAAGAAAATTTATATGAGCCTTTAATTTATAAATTTATTCACTTTCAAATTCATAAGAAAACAATATTATCGATAATTTCATTTATTAAACATGCATGCTTTTTGAATAGCATGCATGTATTATTTTTATTAATCATCACTATATAAAAATTGTGAAATCAAACACTTTCCATTTTAATACAAGTATGAAAAATTAATACGATAAAAATAAGATTTAACAATTTTTAATTTTATTCAAATTAATTATAAATGCAAAAATATATTTAAATCAAAAACTTACATCTATAAAATTCTGAGGTGCTGGAACATTAAATCCTGGATAACTAATCAGTTTTTTTGGATCATATTGGACTAAAATATATAATTTATTATTATTGACTAAAAGGTCTGTATTAAATATAATTTATTTTGTTGAGATAGCTAGAGTATTAATGTTTAGAGTAAAATTAGACTGATTATTTATAAATTATAACAAATATTCTTAAATGTTAGCTATAAATTGCAAAACTAGGACTATTTGAAAATAGTGTATACAGTAAAACCTCAATTATGTTACCACCTTCAGGGTATATAGTTTGAATGAGGTGGCCACCCAAATGGGTTAATGAGAGAATTGACATAAACAACTATATAATTCAAGTACTGTACTGTTAATCCTGTACTGTAATGAATCCTGCTAAGTTCAATACTGCATTTTTTTCACTTTTATAAATTTGTAAGTGAATTATATAATTCATATGCTTTATGTACTGTATTATTACTCACATACTGTTATTAGACATGTTTTGACATATGATGGCCAATGCAAGTGAGGAGAAACTGTTAAAATTTGAATTAAAGCTGCTCTACTGATGTGTTAATCTTCTTGAGACCTTTTTATATATACCATCTTATATCTTGTGTTTTATAGTATACACATTATACTTGCAAAATGTCCCACTCTCTCCTGTTACTGGTTAGGAGAGGAGGCTGTTATTCTTATTGAGAAACTTCAGATAATATCTAAGCAGGGCGATTGCTCATGAGTTTGACAATCAATGAGAGCCCAAACTCTAGTTACTGTATAACCTTGCATATAGCCTATTTTTGATTTGTGATATTTTCGACTTATGATGTGTTTTTCAGAATGTAACCCCATTGTAAATCAATCCACTAAAAAAATAGAGTATTGAAATACAGGATACACATACAGTACAGTATTAAACAGAATTATTTAATACCCATAGACAGATTCAACATCTATGAAATGATATTGTAAGGAACTAAGTCCGAGCTTTATTTTTATTTTACTTTTATTTTGCTTTTATTATATTTCTGTTTGGGGCTTATGTTTAGTTAGGACGAAGGTTTCCTTACCCATCACCCCAGAACGGTCAAAACGAGAAGATAAAGGATTAACCAACTCACCAACAACGAAACGACAGCGCCATAGCTAGAATTCACACTCACGTGCACGCCCGAGCGGCAGAATTGTAAGTCCACACTGAAGGGGGGACACCCCAATAGACTTTTAGGAACTTGTGTAACCTTAAATTAAACATCCCGATAATTGTTAAAGAAATGTTGTAAAAGGTTAACAAAGTATTGTCGAGAAATAAGCTACCAGATAACGAAGAGAAAACAAGAATGTTACGCGTAGATATGTAAATGAGGGGAGTGTCTCAAGTAGAACTGTGACGTCACCTCAGACTATAAGTACAGTAACTCAAGTGAAGATAGACGAGGTGAGCTCCTGAACCGAAAGCGTTGGTCTGCTAGTAGCAGTGAACAAGGTGTAAAAATAGGAAATCCTAGTAGGAAATTGAAGGTTCGATTTTGACGATAGGAAAACAGGAAAAGTCTTGAGTGGAGGAAAAAGGTTCCGAGTATTAATTGAGGTGACGGTTAGGATCGATAGTTATAAGAGAATTTGTAACTAAGTTAAGATTGAATTTTGTTTTGTCGGAATTCCAAGGGGAATAGTTTCTAAGTTAGAATAAGACTAAAGTTTGTCAGGTTGATTGTGATTTGATTTCTTATTTAATAAATTTGTTGTTTGTTTCTAAAACTTGTACATAGTATTTGTTCGACTTGATTAAACATTTATTATTGAGAGATTTTTTTTGTGACTAACTTTGTCCTTACTTTATTTCGGTGCATGCGAAAAGTCCAGGCCTGGCAACTAACAAACGCGAACCTGCGTAAAGTACCCGTTAGGTCCCGGCTCTTTAAGAAAAAATTTGTTGTAGAGCAAAACACTAAATATAGTACTTTACAATACTATTGGAAGAAAACTTTTACTGAGACCAAGATTAAAACAATTCACCTATTTAACTATGCATTTCAGATTGGAATTTTTCAATCCCTCTTCAGGCTCAAGACTTCAGTGCCTAAGGTTGTTTTATCCATTCCATTTTAATAATTTTTTTTAACAGTTTGAGTAAAGATTTTATTTAAATATTGTAGTTTAATAATTTTTTTCTGAATTCTCCTGTTAAACAGAAGTCACTAGATATAGAATTGTCAGAAAAATGTGTTAATAATTAAAACCAGATTTTACATCATCTTGTCAATATTTTTCATCGTTGTTTTGTGAATGATGTGTCAGTGATGTAGACCAATATATACTTATCTTTCTTCTTACTAAATTCTACAACCAGATCACTTAAATCTTCAATTTAATTTGTTGAGTGTAGTGTATTTTATTTGATGATCATCTGCAAGATGATCTCATCAAACTGTTCCCAAACTATAAACAAATTGAGATTTGTTGCTAAAGTGCTTTAAACTGGATTTAGGAGTGCGTGTTTCCTTGTTTTGTTGGCCACATAAATAGGAGTGTCCAAAAGTGACATTCATTTCTATCTTGGCTACTTAAATGAGATGGCCACCAAGATAGAGTTTGATTTATATTAAAACTTAGGCAGTTTTACAGGGAATTTCAGGGGTGCCATATAAGTGAGATTTTACTGTATTATAATTTTGAATGGAACTGTTATTGTCATACCTATGAACATGAGTAAATTTTTGTCAAAAATTTACTCAATATACTGATAAGCATCATAAAGCATTTTTAATTTAGATAATTATTTGACATACCTGTAAGAAGGAAAACTTATAAATTAAAATCATAATTTTATCTAGTATCAAATATTCACTACTATTCATAAATTTTTGTCATTGTTAGAAAATATGATGAGATTCAAAATTCCATCACAATTGTTCAGTGTTGCTTAATTCAAGTTTTTATAAATGAATCAATTCTTTTTTGAAAAATATGTAATAAAATAAGATTTATTAATATTCTTCAAATGTAACAAATATAAATTAGAGAATTGTTATACATTATAATTGAAATAATAAAGTTATGTTTCTATAGAATAATCATCTTTCATCTAAATTTATAAGTTGTTTTGAAACACTTCTTCCAAAAAATAATGATTGTATTGCATTATATTTATATATATAATAAATGAATTTAAATTGATATGAATAAAATGTACTTACTTCTTGGATAATTACATTCTATTTCTCCATCCTCTTTGATTTCACCTTCAGCTAAAACAATATTTTAAAAAAATTTTATTTAGATTATCATCTTTATTTATAAATATATTTTTAAATCAATAAAAATTTCCATACAAAATTCTGAAACAACAATATATTAAATGTTTATTCATTTATTTTTATTTCTTTTCTAAATTTATATATAAAATAACTATACAGAAAAGAAGAAAAATATGCAGCAGTATTTGTTAATACAGTAGAGAGTCGATTATCCGAATCAATTGGGGATTGGGATTGTTCGGAAAATCGATATTTCGGATAACCAATTGTGTACGAAAAAATATATTAATTTATCCCACGTTGAAATTTTTCTCCACTGCGTGTCGTTTCGCGTTGAATTTTCGTCGATGTTAAGCCTAATGAAGACTATTGTATCATTAAAAATTATTTTTTTTATTTTGTACAAACAAAATAAATGTATTGAAAAATATAAAAACAGTAAAAAATTATACTTCAGAAGTTAATTTAGTATCAAAAACGTAAAATATTTGAGTAGCCCAAGACATAGCCAAAGATTGCAGTGCCACAGCACTGGCAAAAATTTAAATTTGCCGACTGAAATTCTTTCGGATAATTGACTTTTGGATAATCGACGCTCTACTGTATTTTGTTTTACAAAAAATCTTATATTTTTTTCATTCTCTATCCTTAGCAGTAGGAAAAAAGAGATGAAATAAATTTTAATTTTTCCCTTACAAATCATTGTAATTTGAATTTTAAATATATTTGACTGTTTTATTTTATTTTTTCATGTGGCTCTGAAGATGCCTTAAATAATAAATGTAAACGTATGCATTGATGTTTTGATTTCTTTAAATAATTGGCAAAGTATTATTGACAAGTCATAGTATTTTGTTACATATAAGTACAAAGGCTATTTTATTGTTTTATTGGCAGGTGGAAACAGTATTGTAACTTATTAATTCTGAAATAAAACATGCACAGTCGTTTAGTGAAGTAGTCTCCATCTTCATGGACAACCTGCTGCCAAACTTCTAGGAGGCAGCAAATACCATCTGTAGTATCATTTTTAACTAGTATCTGATGAGACCACCCTAAGGCAAAGAGGATATGTTAATGTCTAAGAAGCACTTGTCTCTAAGAGTTCTTTTATTCTCAGGAACATGTCAAAGTCACATGGACTTACAAGAATATCCACTATATTCACCTGATGTATCTCCTACTGCCATCTGCTTAACAATGTCCTCACTTGCAATGAAGAATTACTGTGCACATGTCATGCAAGATAATTGGATTGATTGTAGCAATGTAGCCTTTTATGACAAATTGTTGAACAAAAATGATGTTAGATACAGTTATCACTTCTTTAAACGTTAACTGTCTATCTTTGTGGTACACAATGAGACAAGATGACCTATTAGATTAGAAGTTTATGCAATGATCATTAACACTTACCTGGTCCTTACTGCAGTATCTCTTTAGAGCATCCTTTCTCAAAGTGGGCAATAATGCCCCCTTGTGGGCACTGGAGGCTTTCAGGGGGCAGTAGAAGATTTAGTGATTAAATATGAGTGTTATTTCTTCTCATTAAAACATTCTTTGATTTCAGAAATAGGATATGGGTCACATCCTATCTATCCTATACATATAATAATGCTTGTTTAAACATTATATTTGCAACTTACCTTTTTACATTACCATCAACAGATGGTAATGTAAAAAGGTAAGTTAAAAAATATGGGGACACTAGATTTTTTTAATCTCAAAGTGGGCAGTGGTTGAAATAAGTTTGAGAACCTGTGCTTTAGAGTGTGGGGATAATTGGCAGTGCCACGCATTTGATTGTTATTTCAGCTCTAATAGGACCTGACCCATGTTTTGTCAATTGCAATAATCTGATAAAGAAAACATTCTTCTTTATGATTGTAATACTGTAGATCAGTGGTTCCCAATTAGTTTTTCCTGAGTTTCAAGAAAAAGCTCAAACTTGCGTACCCCTTACAGCAGAAATTCATATTAATCCACACTAATATTATAAATTCGAAGGTAATTCTGTCTGTTACCTTTTCACTTCTAAACCGCTGAACAGGTTTTAATAAAATATCTTACTCCCACGAGAAAATTTGATATAATGCAGGCAAAGCTGTGGGTAGACAGCTAGTGATAAATAGAATAAGTTTTTTTTACATTTATTACCTTTAAAATACAATTCTAATAATGAAAATAGCATAAGGTTATTTAATTTTAATGTGACAAATGTGCACAATTTTCTTTGCACAACTTTGTAAAATCTGGTTGCTTTTTGGTCAGCTTCAGTCTCAAGTCATCTTCTAGTTGAAGTCGGTGACAATGTTTAGTTTTCATGTTTGTCATGGCTGAAAATCTGCTCTTGCAGAGGGTATGTTGTGCAAAATGGTAGTAAATATTTTATTGCTGCTTTACTGACATGATAACAATAATTGTACAATTAACACAATTTGTTTCTTGCGTAAGAATTTCATTTAGGTATTGTCACAATTGCATTTTTTTTAATGAAATTTCGAGAATATTTTTAGTTATAAATAAATGAATTTGTGCATTCAATATCATGTTGTAAATTGCCGAATTTTTGATGGTCCACCCATTATTTTTTTGATTGCTTTATCTCATGCATTTAAATTTTAAATCGACTGATTTTAGATTGCCACGCGTACCCCTTCATGCAATTTCATGTACCCCCAGGGGTACACATACCACTAATTGGGAACCATGGCTGTAGATGAATTTGAGCAGTTTCCATCTGTTGCAATTTCTCTGCATGTCATTCAGAGAGTGAGGCACCTATCTTGCAGCAATTTTGTCATGCATGCATTCTCAGCTTCTTTGTCCAGGTGTGGTAAATACCAGAAGATGCAGTTTCTACTTCAGCACTCGTTTTTTGGCAAAATGGCTTCCATATGTTGTCTGTCTGTTCAGTGAGTGGATGGCCATCATCATGTATAATTTCAGTATTATCCCATTTTCTTGTCTGCAGAAAAAAACTTTGTCCCATTGGTCAACAGTATAATATGGCAATGCAGCATTGCCACATGCCTAATGTAAACTTTTGTGGCACTGCCATGCATTTTGTCTGTGCACAACTTAAATTTTGATAATATACCATTATTCTTGGTGAGTAAACATTGTTTAGGCTGGTAGAAAAAATGCTTAAATATTTGACATTATTCTATTTCTAAGCCAGAAATGTAAATGGGAAAAAATACACAAACAGCCAAAAAAAATATTTATGAGCTTTTGACAATTTTCCAATGACGTTGCTGATGCAAAAAAAAAAAAGAAAGAAAAAAATAGTTCTGCTTGAAACTACAGAGGCTATCAGTTTCATTAATATGTTTGAAAAGCTTAAGATTTATATTTTGAATTCTAGAAATAAATTTAATTGTAGTTATACATGGATAATTCGTATATTACATACATTTGGAATCGTAGTCTATTTTAAATCTAATGAACTAATGATTAAATTTATTCACAAAAAGTATAATATATCATACATTAATTACGTAATTACAAAAAATCCTTGGTTTTATTTTGGTAACAGAAAATGATTGTGAATGTTAAAAAGCTGCATCAAATATTTTTGATTGTTAGCAAAAATTATGAAATGATTTTACTACTACTATGGAAGATAAATATTTAATACATACGCTTTCCTTCAGAATCATACATCGTAATGCCTGAACTTTCTACTTCTGCCATTTTCAACCATCCTGGAGGATATCCTAAAATTCTCATATGATATATATACAATGGTAACTGGTAAGATTCCAAATCTAGAGCTTTACGAAGATTTTCACTAAATATAAACCAAAAACAATTTCAGATAAAAATTAAAAGTAAATTTAAATTAAAATAAAAATCTTATATTACCTAATAACTCCTGGTTTAAATTTTGGATTTTGATCTGAATCTTCATGATAACGACCAGCACTATTTAAAAATAAAACAATTACAAGAAATTTTCTAGTAATGCATATACTAACTGCAAAAAATGACAATCATTTTCAATAATGATATACAGTAGAGCGTCATTTATAGTCAGTTATCCGAAAGAATTCCAGTTTGCAAATTTAAATTTTCGCTAGTGCTGTGGTGCTGCAATCTTTGCTATATCTTGGGCTATTCCAATATTTTTTTTGTTGATGTGTGTTTTAGCTGGCAGCACAGGCACTTTTGTGTGGTGTTTTTCTGAGGACTGTGTGTCATGCTGAATCAAATGTTTTTGATACTAGATTAACCTCTAAAATATAATTTTTTTTGTTTTTATATTTTTCAATATATTTATTTTGTTTGTAAAAAATAAATAATTTTTAACGATACAATAGCCACGATTATTATTTTAAAAAGTTTACGTTAGGCTTAACATCGACGAAAATTCAACACAAAGCCACACGTAATGGAGAAAAATTTCAACATGGGATAGGTTAATATATTTTTTCGTACATAATCGGTTATCAAAAATTAAGTTATCTGAACAACTCCAGTCCCCATTGATTCAGATAGATGATGCTCTACTGTAATTAGATACAAGGTTTGTGCTGCATAGTGCCAAAATTGCCACTTGATAATATTTTTATTAAAGTGGTGATAAAAATATAATATTGATAATAAAATCCCTAGTCCACTTATTTTGACATTCAGAGTAAAATTGAATCACAAAGCACACTTCAGGAAAAGCAGCAGAATGCAGAGTTTTTGTGCAATGGGAGTCCCATGCACCAAACACAACAATGTCATGATGTCATATGTCAAGTTTGGACAGGAAAGCAGTTAATGACGTTGAGAATCAAAGGCAGTTTTCTTGCAATGCCCGCCTAGCATTTGCAGATAGGGAATTTTTTATCAACTGACAGAAAATTTGGGAAATTTTTTGGGTAACACTTTTTCACTTTCATCTTTTTTCAGTAAACCAAAGAATAAAAATTTTGACATGACAGAACCTATGAAATAGGCCTATTGCTTAAGCATTGTGATCAAATGTGTTATTTGGAATTATTCATTAAAAAATGATTCCTATTTCTAAGTGACAGCTTAACATGTTGCTTTTGCTTTCCAGATGCCAAACCAATAAGACTACCAGGCACTTGCATTAATTAATAAGTAAAACTGGTGGTGATAATTATAAGTGGCAAAAAAAAATTAAAACTGGCAAAATAATTGGCAATTGTTCTTAATTTTCCAGAGTGACTTCTGTAGATATTAGTTATTTATATTCTAAGAGACAATTATAAATTTAAAGAATTGTAAAATTACATATCAACTTTGGTCATAAGATGAGACTTTGGTATAAAAAAAACCTGTATCTTATATGTGAAGTTGTGATCTCCCATAGGCTAATGAATTTTCCAAATAGCCTTCAGTAGACTACCGTGTTTCCCCGAAAATAAGACAGTGTCTTATATTAATTTTTGCTCTGAAAAGTGCGCTAGGTCTTATTTTCAGGGAATGTCTTATTTTTTTCAGGAAGAAGAATTCACATTTATTATTGAACAAAAAAATTCTCAAGTCGAACTTAGACGAGAGTGACTTATATCCGGTGTGTCGGACAATCGCCTTTTTATAGCGTCAACATCAGACTCGATGACCAATTAGTGCTTACTGAACCGTAGCACTATGCAAATGTCATGTGGCGTGATTCCCGGCCGACCAATTAGCCATCACCAGCCGTAACGTTATGCAAATCTGTGATTCCCAAGCCATAGTCTTATGCAAATCATGCCGTGTGGCGTAATTGTCTGCTGACCAATCAGTGGCTGTACTTTCAAAAAGCCAACGGCCACTTTCAACCATCTGTCGATGACCGTTACGACTAAAAAAAACTTCGATAGGTCTTACTTTCAGGGGGAGGTCTTATATTTCGCAATTCAGCAAAATCTGTGCTAGGTCTTATTTTCTGCGGATGTCTTATTTTCGGGGAAACACGGTATAAGTAATCCTTACCTAGCCCAACTCTTTAATTAAACTATAACATTTTTTATATTTAACATTTTTATTAGTAATAAAACTGTAGACAAAACTGTCCAAAAACGAATAATTCTCCATTGGACAAACTTTTACAGAAAAATTTTTATTAATGTTATTATTATTTGCTATAGCTAAGTTATTAAAGAGATATTATGCTAATGAATATATTTTTCAAAAAAATTTTTTTGATTATAATCTTTGGTCTATTTTCTTTTCAAATGTGTATGCATACAAAATAACAATGCACACTGTTATTCTGAAAAATTTATACATCAACTCTTATTATAAAATTTTAGTCTTATGTCTAAAACTTAGAATAGTATATACAGTAACACCCCGAACTTACGCAATAGGTGGGACTGAGTGATAACCGCGTAAATTATGTTACACCTCTATCCATTCCTCACCATATTAATATAAAAGAATTCCTATACTACACACTAGACCAACTTCATGCCCCTCAATATAACAATAAGAGCCTTCTTTTATCAATATTATAAACCCATTAAAAATATCAAGAATCTACTTTACTTCAAGTACCACATATATATAAATCATATTGCAAAAAATACTACATATCTAAATATTTTATCTTTATTAATTTTTATTCTTTTCAATTTATAATCATTGTATTTTTTTCTTGTTCTACTGTTTTTGTATTACTTTATTGAAATTTGTTTTAATATTTATTTAAGGGGAAAGCACTTATTGTCTTTGTGACATCGCCTGTAAAATTAGATTAATAAATACATAAATGCTAAAAGTACTTACTTTGTTCGATTTTGAGAAAACATTTTCCTATTAAGATATATTTTTTTACGATCTAGTTTTTCTGTACATTTATTTACAGTATGATTTCCAAGACAATTAAAACAAGTGACCAAACTAGAAAAGAAAATGAAACGTTATGTTTAAAATAAAGAGTGAACAAAATTGAGAAATATGTAAAATTATTTTTGTATAACCAACAATACAATTCTGCTTTTATTCAAGACTTGTTAATGGTCTTTTCAGTCTTCTATTTATATACAATGATTCACAAAAGTGATCAGGCACTTTTCTGACTCAGCTAATTTATACTAATAATTTTGAAATAAAAGTAATATTAAACAAAACTTTGTTATTTTCTTTACTGAAATTAAATTAACTATATATTTTCCAATTATGTTGCCAATAAAAGCAAAAAGTATAAAATCCACAATACAAAATTTATCAGATATNTTAAATTTATATATATTTTTAAATTTATTTTATATTTATTGAAAACAATCAAATACTTACTTTGTTCTTTTTGTCTCTGTTTCTTCAAATGAAACATTTTCTGAACTTACATCTTCAACATAATTTTTATCATAACTAAAAGTTAAGGTCAATCAACAAACATCAATTAATATTTCAAAATCATATATTAATTCATTTTTATGTTGTTCTTAAAAATTTTTAACTGCATGATTAATGCATTTACATTATTTTCTAATAATGTATTAAAAAATATAATTTCAATGATACTATGAAGCAAGCATATTCAAGATTTCATAAATCTGAAGAGTTCATGCATTAAGGAGATCGTCCAGCCCAACAATGGTCCAATCCGAAGCAGAGTCAGTAGCTTGCATTCAGATCTGTCTCCAGATGGGATCCCTGTGAGATATGTCCCGCTTTGCTGACCCCCTCTGGAAAAACCAAACTTTGTCCAAGCGGAAGGCAAAATTGTTTTGTCTCCGCCAAGCAACAGGCCTACATGACATTAGTATACGTAGTGTTGGCATATTTACAAAAAGTCCCTAAAATATATCAAATATTGCTAAATTCCTTTTCTGCTACTGTCCCAATTAAGCATTTAAATTATGTATAAGTTTTAGTTTAGTTTCCATTCTTTGAGATTTGGCCCAGAAAAGCAACTGCCTCAATTAAACATAATTGACTATACTAAAACTAATAAATAAACAACTTTTAATATCAAAAGGAAAAAATTATATATATATATAAAATTTAATACGTTAAAGGATACACAGGGATATCCCAAGATGACGGTGATTTCGTCACATTGTCTTCTACAGGGCAGACATCTAAGCAGAAGTTCTGATACAACTGAACTTGGTTTCTTTCCTTTACAAAAATCAAATATAAAAATTTCTAAATAGTTTGATATAAAATATGTAGAATATAAAATATATTCATATTAATTAAAGTAATGACATCTTAATCAAGCTATAATTTTATTACACAAATTTGACTTTATAGCATTTTCTAACATCAAAAGAAAGAAATGAAATAGACTATACGCTTTGCATAATGGGTGCGTTCGTTAATAGCGGTCACTCTGCGTCTCCGCTACTACGGGAGTGCGTTGCTGTTTGTAGGCATTTAGGAACGACGGTGAAAGAAAGAAAGATGGCGGCGCCCTCACTATCGATAATATCATGATGGAAGAATCTATAATTCTAAAATATGAGCTTTTAAAGGCAAAAGAAGAGTCCCAATTGTAAAATTTAACCATAAAATGGATTATTTGTTAAGAGCATTCAAAATAGCTACGAAAAAAAATTCGAAAAGACACTTACATCATCGCGTACACTAACTTGCGCTTTCACAACTTCTAAATTTTCATTCCTAAATCCACATAATGGGCCCCGAAACGAAACTATCTGAGCCATGGAGGACGCCATGTTGCTTTCCACTGTAAACTACTGCTACAAGCGGCCGTTTTTGCCGTTCGACGGCGCGCACTCCGACCGGAATTTAGGAACGCGTTCCGCAGGAATTTTTAAACGCTCGCGCGGAGTTACGCGGAGGAATAAAAGAACGCACCCAATAAGCAAAGTTATAAAACTAACTAGATCTAAAGTAATTGAAAAATAACTTATTTAATTAATACCATTCTTAAAAATTACGGTTTTCCCATCAAGCGAAGTTCACAAAAATAGATTCTGTATTATGTCAATCTATAACTTTTTGAAATAAAGTACTGTATAAAATTGCCGCGTTGACTTGTAGCCGTATCGGTTTCGATACGGCTGAATAAGCAAACCAATGGCATAGTCCGTTTCATTTAAAACGGATCATATCATTGGTTTGCTTATCCACCCGTATTAATTAACACCGCTTTACTACTCAACAAGGCCATTGTTCTGCGACAAACAAACGTTTTTTTTTTCGCAAAACAAAACAATTTGTTGCCAGATTGGACGATTTCACGGCGGAAATTTAGACAATTCTTTTAAAGAGATTCTTGATACGCTTCTCGTTTTATAATTTCATTATTATTAGTTATTATTACATTTATTAATTAATTAAAAGCATTTTCTGTGTGACGTGCAATTACATCAATGTACAGTATAGCTAAGCTAATGTAAAGCCAAGAAAAAATACAGCAAAAAATACTGAGAATGAGAAATACAGTAATACCCCGACTTACGCGAACCCGGAGTTACGCGATTTTCAAATCTCGTCGATTCGTCTTTTGTTTGAGCGCCACGCAACTCTTGATTATTCACTCCCCCACACTATTGTTCAGCTTACGTGTTCGGACGTGTCGCGCGGAATCGACGCATAGCTACAATTTATTTTGTGTAATTTATTTCTGTTTGTTATATCTAGGGAGACTCGAGAGACTCTATGTGATGATTTCTTGTAACCCTGAACGTAATGTAACGTAATGAACGTAAATGTTCTCGTTAATCTTATCTCGCCTTTTGAACCAAAAGGCGAGATAAGATTAACGAGAACATTTATTAGCTTACATACATCCGACTTGGATTTTACACAAAAGGCATCTGCAATCGTGAACAATTGACGAAAAAAGTATACATTTATCAGATAATAAACAAAGACTCATTTTGTAAACAATTTACCTTTTGTATATACAACTGACAAGATTACCTTTCAAATTATAAACAGACTCGATCCCAAGCGGTCTTTTGATCGTCGGACATACAAAAGAAATGAACAGATGGCGCCTAACTTAAGCGCGGTTTACAATAACGAATATGATTAATCTTAACACTCTACTATGTCATCCAAACGAAGTAGAACTGATTCTTCTGCATCAAACAAGAAAAGAAAAACTTTATCTTTGGAATGTAAAGTTAACATTATTAAAGACTTCGATACAAAAATGAAAATTTGTGAATTGGCAAAGAAGTTTGATCTACCGGAATCGACGGTCAGAACAATTATAAAAGGTAAAGAAAAAATTCTCGAAGCTGTAAAAAATGCTCAATCTTTAAATTCAAGCATCATTCGTAAACGTCACGGTATTATCGCTGAGATGGAAACAATGTTAAAATTATGGTGTGATAATCAAGTAAATGTGAAAAATTGTATAATAATATAGTTTGTTATACATATGTATTATCTAAGATTTTATTAAACATTTTTTTCTAAATTATTGTTTTCTTTAGTCTCCGGCCCCAATTAAAAATAATTTGTATGTATTTATATGCAAAATTATACCCCGACTTACGTGGTTATCGCTCGGTCCCACCTATCGCGTAAGTTCGGGGTATGACTGTACTACTGTAAGTGTAAAAAATTTAATTTACAATAATCTTTCCGTTAATAAAATTAAAAACACACGAAAAGCAATGAAAGAATGTCGACTCAAAAAGTTATTTTCAGAAGCGTTTTTATACTGAGCGGGATTTTTAACTCACCACTCGGTAGAGTTAAAAGAATCGACCCAGTGGACACTTAAGACCTGTTTAGCAAACCCATTGTGGATTCGGCTAGGACAACAATGGGGCCCGGTGACGAGGAGCGGAACCCGATATATACGGACTGACCATTCCCGAAAAATTCTTGGGTTTTCGACCCGCCCGGATTCGATTCCGGGTTCCCCAAAGCGGTAGGCTGCCACTCTAATCGCTCGGCTATTTGGCCGTCTACTGGGCGGCAGTAAGTTCAATAGCCGGAATGACGGAGAGCCACTACATCAAGAGCGAAATTGGCCATATTTTCGCTTCTATTTTAAATGAAATTAAACAGTAAAACAGATGCAATAGGATTAGCGTACGTTAGATGAGCTTCAAAATAATGTATGAAACTAAATTTAATTCATACTCAAGTTCCTTAACGAATTGGAAATTATTTTACTTTACCATATTCTAGAGAGAGGCTCTTGATCGAAGATGCAATCTCTCTACTAAAGATGGTTTCAAATGATTTGCGACAGCGGTTTGTGATGCAAAAAAGCGAACTGTATTTTGAGACAAAACCAACAGGAAAATGCTGCTACAAATAGGGCGCGATAGTTTACCATATCACAATTCTCACGAGGCATCGGCCAGATGACCAAGCAGTGTATGTATGCCTTCCGCTCTGGTGACCTGGACACGAATCCGAAAAACCCCTGGAAATTTTCGGGATCTCGGTTATGTCGAGTCCATTCCTCACTACTAGGCCACCCCATTGTGCGTCTGCCAAATCTATGATGGGCTTGATTAAAATAAACCTTACAAGTATTATACCTGTCCTATACCGATTTTGTGAATTTTGGCACAAAAGCAATGTCTGATATGACAATGCGACCATCCAAACCGTTTCATTCTATGGACCATAATGAGCAAGTAATGAATAAATAAATGTAGACTTTTTCATGGCAGACGAGTTAGTAGTTTGGTCACGCTGGCATTGATCTGTCTAAGAGCAGCAGCAGCAAGAGATCGATGACGTGATTGTTATCCATAACGTGATATTGTATTACGCATTAAAATACCAACACAGTTGTTATTTGGAAAAAAGAGTAGTTTAATATTAACCATGATTAAATTTTTAAATATCACGACTCGTTTTCACATTAGTTCAAATTGAGAAATAAAACAAACCAGTGAATCAATAGTCATTTCATGCGGCAAGCTTATTTTAATTATTATCCCAATCAGGATGGCATCTAGTATATTCCCAACAGTAATTATTTTTGGTGATTACATTAATATTAATATACTTTACTCGGAAAATGGAAAAGCGGTGCAAAAATAATAATGGCTTTCAATCCATAAATGGTACACACACAAGCACTTGCTACACTGGGCACATTTTATACTATTTTGATCTCAATCCACAGCATCACAGACAAGACTGTCACTCTCTGTAAATGTGAAGCACACTTCATTGACACTGAGGAATCTCTCTATCAGTCGGAATACTGTGAGTACGAATCATGTTTGAAAATGTCAGCAGATAATTGAAAGTGCAAGAGAGATTGCAACTTGATTAACACCTTTTGTGTATGTTCCAATTGTCATCGTTGTGCACCCCTTTAGTTTTGGGGAATACCTCTAGTCCTGTAAGAATTCCTCTAGCAAGGTATTTTAACTGCCGATGAAAGGTGGTGTTAAGAGGTTGCACCAGAGAGGTAGGTTTCTGGTACAATTTTTAAAGTAATTTCTGATGTATTAATACTAGCAGTTTGACCTAAGAATTTTGTATATGAATCCATACTTGAGTGTCCTCCTCATGAATCTATCACAAGGAAACTTTTCTTTAAGTTTGGGACTATAGTAGAACCTGTTTAAGAAGTTCTTGCATAAGTCGTCCAAATTTTTCAGTCCAATTTACATTGTGTGTTAAAATTTTCTGCATAACAAGTTTCCGTGCAAGTTTTTCCCATATAAGAAATTCAAAAATGTCTGTGAAATCAACGATATTTTACCCACTTAAGAAGTTTCAGTTGGAGACAAATTGTAATTTTTTTCTCACCATAACTTTACCACTTAAAAAAATGGCAAAGTTTTAATAAAGTTACTCCAGATAATCACCATATAAGTTGCAGCTCGTTGCATCATTTGCCAAACCTCATTTAGCATTAAATGCGATGGAATTAAAGCATTTACAAGGTATGCTGATTGCGAGAAGCATCTCATTTACCTTAAGCCTGGTCATTGTGTCATTCAAGGAAGCAGTTTCCAAAGATGGCAACCTAATGCTGGCATGCATATCCACATATAAATGGATAATTTTCAGGTTTTTTTTAGAAAGATTGATTCTGGATTTCCTTATCATTTTCCATTCTTAAGGTACATTTATTAATTAATGAATGTACCATGCTCATAATGTAAATCATTAACTGTTCTAAACTGAAATAAACTTTAGAAAGTACTGTACTTGAAAGAATTGGAATCGGGAGAAATTTTTGATATCGTCCATCACTAGTTGTTTTAGATTTGTGCATTTTTTTCAAAACATTAGCATTAAATGCATAAGTCCAAGCAAATTAATGTTTAAAAAAAGTAAAAATTAAAATAAGTTTTATTTAACACAGTGATGTCATACACATTATTTCAACCTCAGTGGCATGCAGTGACATTTGATGATAGGGAAGCTGTGCCAACCCTGGATAGAATCATTGAAAGCATTATACGATATTTTGGTGTATAGCATCCATGAGCTAAACCGCGAGGTTAGTGCTCTGTAAAGTGCATAAGCTAATGCCTGTAATCTGGCTGCTTTACACCATTGAAATATTTTTGCCATGGAAGCTATCTTGTATTCGACAATACAGAGCTTCCATTGGGAATACGCATATTCAAATATACAATAGCAATTGTATCATTGTTTTTCACATGTATAGAAATTTGTAATAAAATACATAATGCTGTTATAATAAAATATTAATTTTAATTAATTCAAAGTACGTTAAAATATGAAAATAATTGCACAATATGTATTTCTATTTTAGAAAATACAAGGGAAGTGGTGCTTCCACAGCTTCCATGGACAGCACACTGCTGTTCAACCTGTAGTTCTTATTTGAATACATTGTCTCTGGCTACTGTTGATTGCCCACCAGTGGCCAAGTGGTCTTCATACCCTGAACACTGGGAGTTCAGTTGTGGGTTCATGCCTTGCTCAAACGGGTTGGCCATGTGGAGTTTTCCAGTTTTTTTCCACGACTGTAACGCCTAAATAGGGGCCAGTTTTCCTTAAAAAGACCTCCCGGAAGGCATCCCCCATGCAGATCGTCCAAGTGTTGCATTGCCATAACTAAACTAAACTAAAAAACAAACTGGCCACTGTTGGTCTACTGGATTCACAGGTGATGTGCAACCTCTAAGATAAATATTTTGCATGTTTGGTAAATACAAGTGTTAATTGCAATGTAATTCTACTTTTTCTTTCTTTCATAACTTGGATCTGCCTTTGCACCTGATTTTTGTATTTCTTGTGGTCTTTTAGCAATTTCAACTGCGTAAGACAACACAAAATCTATTATATGTAAGAATCTTATACCATAATCCAAAAACATGAAGCACAAAGATAATTTTGTGTTTAAAAACACTTAAATGCCTTTCATAGGTTATACTTTGTCTTATAATTTATATGAATATGTAAAAATAGCTATTGAACCAGTGGCATTGATATTACAAGAGAGAAAGAACTGATGTTAATTTAATATTGGTTCTTTATCTCTCTATTTTTGTAAAATTACAAAATGTACAATTGCCACCAACTTACTTTCTTGCATTTCACATTTTAAAACATTCTTTTTCCATAAATGTTAGAATCTAATTTTTGATGCTTTTTACCTGACAGAATGCAAGCATTAATTTCCATTACCTTCTGACTAGATGTAACATTGTGGATTATCATTATAGTCATGTGACTTGTGCATTTTTTTTGTTTGAAAATATACATAGCAACATTTTCCACTTAAGGCTTTAGAAAGAAGTTCTACAATTATTTTCATTTTTTTCCTTTAGTAAAACTTAATCTATGCAAGTCCAGGATAAAGTAGTATATGTAAACTGAAATTGTTAAAAAGTAGACTTGTGCTGCTTTGCACAATGGTCTTCACATATTGAATCTACTATTGCCATATTCCGTACTGTAAGATATTTACACAGATGATGTTAGTTAGTATTAGCATTGTAGCAAAAGCACACATTATTCTCTGCTGGAATAAGAATCCTATGATGTTACAAGCCTAAAAATTTTCTTCCAAATAACTTATAAACATATAAAATTTTTAATGAAAAAATTTTAAATCATTTTTTTTTATTAATTGTAATGTTTATAAATGTAAAATAATAAAGCAGTAAAAATTTGTAAAAAAAAAGACAAAGCACATAATGTCTAAAAAATTTTAAAAATAAATTAGTTCCAATTAATTAAAGAAGCAAAATTCAAAATTAAATTATACATTTTAGATTAAGTTTAATTATTCAATTAATGAAAACTGTACTATAAGAGACTCATAAAATATTAAGAAATTATTATATAGGGATCTAATAATATCCAAAGCAATAGATTACAGAGAAATCTAGGCCTATTTGGAGATAATTAATATAATTCACTTATGCTTTTCAATACTGTACTGTCATTTTAATTTATAAGATTTTAAAGTATAGAAGAGCATCAATTATCCGAATCAATTGGGGAGTGCGGTTGTTTAGAAAATAAATTTTTTGAATAACCTATTATAGACGAAAAAATATATTAACCTATCCCATGTCGAAATTCATTCATTCAAATCCCGGCATGTCCGTAAGTACCCTCTCACGGTCACGCCAGTGCTGCCAGCTAAAACATGCACACCAACAAAAATAATATTGGAGTAGCCCAAGACAACCAAATATTGCAGCACCACATCACTAGCGGAAATTTAAATTTGCCAAATGGAAAGCTTTTGGTTAATTGACATTTCGGTTGATCGACATTCGGATAATCAATGCTCTACTGTATTCACTACATAAAGAAAGATATTCATTTAAGTAGAATTTATTAATATTTTAATATCATAAAGATCAATTATATTTCATATAACTTGTATTGCAACTGTTTTCTCTTAAAATTTACCTAAAAAAATAAAAGATTTTAATTTAAAAATAAAAAAAAATTTTCTTACTTTTTCATCAAACTGGATAAGTGCATCATCCTCTTTTGATAAAAGATCCCTCAAAAATTTTTCTACTTCATGTCTATATTTTCTATAAATCATAGTAGAGGATACAATTTAAGTATTTAATTAATTATAGTTTTAACTATGTTAAATTCATAAAATTTTTCAAGATAAATACAAAATATTAATAAATTCAATTGATGAAATATGTGCTACTCAATTTAATTTCACAGTCTTGTTAATTACAATTTTTGATAATATTGGTAAAAAGTTTAGTTATATTCTGTAAGTTACCAAAATTAACATTTCAACAAATTTTTTTGTCAAATTTACAATAAGTAAAAAAATTATATATAAAGGGCATCCACTTAAAGAAACAACATAACAATGTTTTTTTTTAGCAATACAGTAGTCACACATTTATTAATTATTTCTTTTTTACAAACATTCATAGATTCTAATTCATTTAAAACAGATCTTGCTATTTCTTGCTACAAAAAATTAAAATTGCATTCTGTAATTAGAATTTTTACTTGCAAAAGAAACTGTTCCCTACAGAATCATAAAGAAATTATTGAAATTTATGGAGACAAGTCAATTTTACAAACAACAGATATTAATGTGGTGTTCTCAGTTTGAAGGCAGACGCATAAGTTTGAATGAGAAATGGAAGGCAAAAAACTTCATTCACATATCTGAACATTAAATGTGTGGAAACAATGTTACAGGCTAAGTTGAAGGAGATACCTGGAAGCCTATAACAGTGTTCTGCAACCGGTGTGCTGTCACATGGTGAAAGGTGTGACGTGAACTTTTACATATTCTGTTAATTTCAAGTTTTATTTATACATTTTTATCACAGTTTTTGTGTTTCTTAAGCTTGTATTTCATTCTCTGCCGCAGCACTGATTAAATAAGATGATGATTGTATATTCTTTATTACAAGCCATGCATTTTTATATATTCTAAGAAATTATATGTAAAATAAATTTGCTCACAGGTGTTGATATCTTTTAATAACAATAATAATAGGCTAGTGGCATTACGTAATTCTATTAATAGTATCATATCATACGTTTTTGAGGGGAATAACATTTTGGTGTGCTGTGTTGAGTCATGGGTGTGCCGCAAATAGAAAAAGGTTGCAGAACACTGGCCTAGAATACTGAAGTCAACTTTTCATAAAATTATTCACAAAGTTCTTGTATAATGAAAACTGTGTGCCTACTGGGTTCCAAAACAGCTCACTGAAAACCATAAATAATGCCAAATGGGAGTCATTTTGCAAAATTTTCTGCATTACTTCAAAGAAGAAAATTTTCTGGAGGACATAGTGACTAGAGAAGAGACCAGGATGCATTACTCGACCTGAGTGTAAGAGAGATTCCATAAATTAGCACCAGTCAACCTGAACATTGTCCAAACCTGCTGAAAAGTTTAAACAAATTTTGTTTAAACTTTTCAGCAACTTTTTTACCAGGAAAATCATGGCAAGTATTTTTTGGGACAACAAATAAATTTTCCTAGTCTATTTTTTAGAGAAAGGAAAAATAATTAATGCATCTCATTATTAAGAGACACTATATAAACTTCAATATTCCACCAGACAGAAAACATATGGAAAGCTGTGACAAAAACAGGTATACTTGCTGCACAAATAATACAATTCCCCATACTGCCCATCAGACTGGCTAAAAAAGTATGGATAGAAAATAATAGACCATCCTACATAGTCTAGACTTATCACTCTCTGATTTTTACCTTTATGAGTCACTTAAGGAACTTCTGGTGACTTATACCTCTCAAAAGATTAAGAAGCTAAAAATGGAGTCATGGATTTTTTCAAATTTTTTACAGAAAGGAATTTTTGCCTTTTCTCCCACTCAAAAAAGCATTTAGAAAAGGATGACAACTATGTAGAAAAATAGCTTAGATTGTATACTTTCAAATGCCTATTTAATGCATTAATGTAATTTGTTAATAAATTGTTATGAAAGATTATACCTTACTTTTGAGACATGCCTCATATCTGTATGCCATTACCATATATCCTTAATTCTTTATTTACAAAAATATTCTCACTCTTTGAAATAGCTGTTATAGATTTATATTAGAATTTTATTAATATAGTGGGTGATTGGTTAATGAACAAATCAGATAACAAACACTTTTGCAAAAGATTTTTATGATCAGACAATGAACACATGTTCAGATAACAAACACTTCACTGAACAAACATAAAAAGAAGCGACAGAAAATAACGAATACCGATTGATTTTCCCTTGTCTTCGGGTAACAATTCAAAACCTTTCAGAGTGCGGGAGACGTCAACATTGACGCTCACCTGATACTGATCGGATAGTGTTTCCCTGAACTTTGAAACTCTCCATTGTAATTCCAGCTTTTTGTATACTTTTCTGACAAATAATTTTTTATAGTCTTAGCGAGACTGTCAGGCACTCCATAAGTTTTGCATCAGTTTTTATTTTCTAAAGGTGAGAGTTTAACTGTCCTATTGGGTATTCGTTAACATTTTAACACCAAAATTTCAAATTACATTCAGACCTCACATTTACATAATTCTTTCATGCACTAGTGATTTCTGTTCTCTGAATTTTTGTGAGTGCTTTTCTGAACTTTTTATTTCAAACAGAAACTGATAATATTATGGAGCATAAAAAGAGTGGAGTGTCAAGAACCGTGCTCACCATAGAAACCAAGCAAGAGATAATAGTCAAAGTAGACACTGGGCAGATGTCTGATGTTGCTAGGCAGTATGGCTTGAACAGGTCTACAGTAGGACAATCTTATCTAAGAAAGATATAATCAAGAAGACTCAGAGAGCTAAAGGAGTAACAAAAATCATATCTGAGAAACAAAGATATTCCATCCATGAAAAAATGGAGATTGCTTTTAATTTGGATAAAAGAAAAGGAAATGAAAAAAGATATAACTAGTATGACTATCATTCAAGAGAAAGCTAGAGAAATTTTTGAAGAACTGAAGAAAAACTCCACATTCGTCACAAGGAGATAGAATTCAAAGCTACTACTGGATGGTTTTTAAAGTTTAGAAGGAGAACTGGCATTAAACATGTGGTAATTCACAGTGAGTCTGCTAGTGCAAATAAAGAAGCTGAGAAGTTCTGTCTCAAATTTAAAGAATTTGTTAAAAAAGAAGGATATTGTCCACAACAAATTTTCAATTGTGATGAAACTGATTTATTTTGGAAGTGCATGCCAAACTGTACCTACATTACGAAAGAAGAGAAAAATATTCCTGGGCATAAACCCTTGAAAGACCAATTGACATTACTTTTGGGAGCTAATGCTAGCGGTGATATTAAGCTTATCCCACTTCTTGTCTATCACTCTGAGAACCCTAGAGCATTCAAAAAATTCCATAATTAAAGAAAAACTGCCAGTGATGTGGAGATCAAATAAAAGGGCATGGGTCACGCAGGCTCTTTTCAAAGAATGGCTGTTTGAAGTTTGTGCTCCAAGTATCAAGGATTCAGACCAATGACATGCCATTAAAAGCACTGTTGCTATTGGACAATGCACCAGGACACCCAAAGACTTTGAAGATAATTTACTGGAAGCTTTCCCTGGCTGACAGTTCAGTTTCTACCTCTGAATACCACTTTGTTGATTCAACCAATGGATCAAGAGGTTATTGCAGATTTCAAGAAATTGTACATTCGAGCACTGTTTCATCGATGTTTTGAAGCATGCCAGTTCTCCTCAACAATGACATTAAAAACGTTTTGGAAAGAAAAATTTGATATTCTTGAAGATATACGGCTCATTCAAAAGGCATGGTCAGGAGTCACTCAACAACAGTTAAATTCTGCTTGGTGAAAGCTGTGTCCCTCCTGCATTCAGGGAGAGAGAGAGAGAGAGATGATGTTCCTGAAATTATAGATGAAATTGTGACAACTGCTAGAGATCTGGAATTGAAAGTGAATAAAGATGACATTGAAGAGCTCATAATGGAATCTGAAACTGATCTGACGACAGAAGAACTCCAAAAACGCTTAAATGAAGAACACCAAGAAACTCAGCAAGATGTGTTTTCTGCTGAAAAAGAGGAAGATGAAAAAGGATCAATGCAAACATCTGCTATTAAAGATCTTTTGAAGAAGTGGGAGATGTCAGAACAACGGTCTTAGAATGGCATCCAAACCAAGTTGAGGTTAATAGGCTTGGGGATCTCTATGACGGCAATGCTATTAATTACTTCTGAAAAATCCTGAAGAAGAGAGAAAAGCAATTAACATTGGACACATTTTTTAACCCCTACAAACGGAAAAAACATGACTAATAAAAATGCAAGACTGTGTATATATGTATTTTTATTATTACGTATAAATAAACATAGTAAGAAAGTATATATTTTTTATTTTTTGGAGTCTTCAGAACGAATTAATCAAATTCCCATAAAAACCTATGGTAAATCGATAATCGGTTAACAAACAATTTGAATAATGAACAAAGTCTTGGAACAGATTATGTTCATTAACTGATCACCCACTGTATATTATTATTTATTTCATCAGTAAAACTCTTATTTCTATATCAAAGACACAAAACTATTATTTTAGTTCTTTTTTATACTAATAAAAACCAATCTCTGACCTTTATCAAAAATGATAACAGTCAAAATTTGATTCAATACAAAACAATATGAAATTAATTCACTATTCATATTGAATTAATACCAGGACTGTGGAGTTGTGTAAAAATCTACTGACTCTGACTAGGAGCGGACTTCTTACCAAAATAGACCTGGAAATTCTGATGTCATCATATGATCTCAGAATAAAAGATTTAATAAATAAAATTCTAATAAAGATTGGAATAAAAAAGTTTCTTCCTTCTAAGATAAAAGACTACTCTAAGTAATGACACAGTCAATATATAAATATGTATTTGATAATTTTTCTTTCCTGGCTGTTATATACAACAGAGGGAAAGTGTAGCGATCAGTAAAAAAAAAACGACCCTCCTAAATTTTTACATTTTTGGACTCAGGACACTTTGAAATGTCAAGATATGCAAATGATTCAGTTTTTTTCTGTATGTATGGATGTTAGACTGTGTATGCAGGGAGTGATTTTGTTCATCCTGTTTGAAGTCTTATTAATAACTTTTGTGGTTTTTAAATCAGAGTCAGATGGTTTAACACAGGAATTATTAAGCTTCAAAGTGGTTGAACTAAATTGTGCCTCCATACACATTCCTACATCTCAGATGAGAACATCTTAACAGGTTTTACTGTACTATTATAAAATGACAAAAAGCTTAATTTTAAGGGTAGAGATGGTATAAAAAAAATTGTGAATGCTCATAAAGAGTAAAATAGTCATTAAGTCTGACCACACTGGAGATATGACACATGACTCCTTCTATGTCTCCATTCTGTCTATCTTTAAGAACCAAAATTTAATAGCATTATTGCCCCTTTATACACGAGCTACTGTGCCAAATTTAGTTTCTTAAACTTTATGCATTTTGAGATATTGTTTAATATCTCAGAACAGAGAATAAAGAAATTAAACAAATTAGATGCCAACACACACACACAAATTTTCTCATTTAACATTTTTTGGGTTCAGGAGGTCTCCAAATGTATAAACTTGCAAAAAACTTGGAGGGTCAAATTTCACATGATTCCAATACTTTTCTGTTTTTATATACATAATTTTTATTTACATAACAAGTTGGGAAGTAAAAAGGAGTCCAAGTTGACAGATTTTCTCAATATATTAATTAAAATTTAGTATTAAAATACAAAATATCTAAAAACAGAATAATGAAAATATAATCTGAATTAATAGATACTTGATACTTACACTATAAAAATTAAAATGATACTAAATTAAATGAAACTGTACTTACTTAGCAAGAACATTATTCTTAAAAGATATCTGTATTGCAGAAGAATCATTTGGTACCTTCTTCCTACTGATCAAATTATTTATTTGATTTTTTAATTTAACATATAATTCTTATTAAGAAAAATAAATTTATTTATTATTGGTAACAAATTTAATAAAAATTTTATTTAATGTGCTAATTTAAAATACTACAAATTTAAAACAATTGCTGAATCAAATAAATTTATATTACCACTCCTATTAATAATTACTTAATTGGTATTTAAATATTAATAGTAGCAGTAACATAGCCCAATTTTATCCAGCAATCATTTGGATTTAATATAATTATTGGGTTTTGAGGCATTTATGTAAATACTCAGATATTCACATGTACTTAACTATATTAAAAATTAAATTCTTTCTTTTAATTTAAAAATTAAATTCTAGTTAATAAAATAAATTAATATTTTATTTTATTAACTAAAAACATGGAAAAATTAAAATCTAAATAAAATAATAATACTGTGAATTGAAATTATATACAGTAGAAGTTCAGTAAATCTAGTATCCAATAATCCACAAGTGTCCACAAATGCGTGTTATGCTGAATTATTATTCAGCATAACACGCATTCCATAAATCGGAATTTGTTAACATGTGTTAACAATCCTGGGCAGAAATACAGGACATGTTCCAGAAAGTAATTATTACAGTGAAATTCTGTTAACCTGGTATCCAGTATGCCAGCAAATCAGATAAGCCGGCATGTCAAGCTTATTGTTCAGGGAGTTATTGCTGCATGTAGTTAAGATTTTCCTGTAAAAGCATTCAACACATGCAGTTCTTGGAAAGGGAGTATTTAGTTCTCCTTTTACAGATGAGAAATGTCAAGATGACAATATACTGTGTTAGTCAAAACAGTTAACTTGTGCATGATTATTCTAAAGACTTTTCCAAAGACATTAATTCATGGATTTGGTATGAAAAAACAAAAATATTCACATCACTTAGAATCAATAATTATCATGAAAACAGCTATAATATATTCATGCTCATGTTGTTGATAATTAGAGTTTATCTGTATTTATATGCAATAAAAGTGTACAAAGCACAAAGTAAGAATAGTGTGTTCTTGTTTCAAACTAACCAAGGGTAGAAATAGTCTGAAAAAATTGATTCGGCATTTTAAACAATCATAAAAGGCAGATTTGTATACACAAAGATATGTAAAATTGTGACCAGGGGATTAAAAAAACAGGAAAACTTCCACCATCCAATAAGGTGGCATATTCAATAACCTGGCACTGCATTAGTCTTAACAATTCAGGGTTTTAACAGTGTCACTGTATGTGCATATGAATCATTGTGACTTTTAACTTCATGCAATAACATGTTAATGTTATTGCATAAAGTTCAATCTTCACACAGTATAATCATGAACTGTATTATCTTCAGATTGATTAAACACTATGTGTAAACAAATTAGAAGTATACAGATTGCACTGGTATAAAATGTACATTCAGATTGGATGTAACTTACTAAATTTTACAAAAATATAGAATGTCTGGTGATCCAGCATTTTTTATGTTCTTGTTCCATTCTGGTCCCATAGGTGCTAGAATATACAAGGTGTTTGAGAAAGATCTATATTAATTAATATAAAATTTCCTTAAAATAAATGGTCTATTGAAATGTAGTTTATGGTAAAAAAAAACATTAACTCAAAAAGTTTTTATTACAAAAATTAAAACAAATGCTGAAGATGTTTTCTGTATATTCAATGATCCTCAACATAAACTTCTTCAGTTGCATGAAGAATGTCCAACTGATAACTGATTCATGGCCAAGTTTACTTATTTACAACTAAATAGCAGAATGAAGATATAAGATATGATCTTGCTTATACAGTTTTTTGTTTTTTCAAGCTTTACCAATTACTAATGCAACATTACTAGACAGCGGACATATAGGCCCTTAAAAGTGGAGTTTTAGACGCTAAAATAATCTCTTAAATTGTGTCGTTTAGGCTTTATAAACAAAAAATAAGCAGTCAAAATTTGCACAATAAACAATTAATGTATTTATCGGGACAATGAATTTTTTATTCAACATATATATTCCAAACAAAAATGAATGTATTCAGAATGATGCAAACACAAAATTAGACAAACAATTATCTTTACATTTTTTATTCGCTCTGTTTCCCATAGTTAGCTTCATAATATATTACAAGAACTTTTTCCAAATTTTCAATAGAAAAGTTGCAACGTTTGTCACTGAGAATTAATTTATATGCAGAGAAAGAGCATATAATCCGTCCTCTTCAGTAGATGTGGAACACATCTACTGAAGATGACTGACAATATTTCAACCTTGGAAGAAGAAGAACTGGGAATTCACTTTCAGTTTTGCTCTTCTTTCCTGCAAAATATCAGCCACAATAAACAAGCACTTTAATCCAAGTCTCTTTTGAAGCACTGCTTTCAACTCTTTCTTCACTATTTTTTGCAGCAGTGCATGATGCATCACAAAGTTTCTGGTTTGCTCTGTTGAAGAGATCACTTAGTTCATATATAGGTTTCCCACTATTTTCAAGAGCAGTAATAGTATCTGCAATGAATGTGAAATAACACTTGATGTACATCAACTTGTTCTGAACATAAATGTCATTCAAAATTTTCTTGACTTTAGTTACACAAACTGCACTGTCGCTAAAGTGGCCAGAAGTTTTTGATATCAAAGAAATGTTCACTGTAGTAGTTAGTACAAAATCTTAGCCATGTATATGCTAAGGGAAAAATAGGCATTTGCCTAAAATCCACTGTCTAAAAATGACAAATAAAGCATCTCTAACGCTATATTTATTAAATAAAAGTATTTATTTTAAAATATTTCATATAGTTTTAATTTTATTACTATAAAATTGCATCAGGGGGTGTAATTTATTTCTGTTATTATTGCATTCTAATTTTTTATGCTTGGGATATGCATTCACTGGGACTTATATTTAAGTAATCAATAATAATAAAAAAATGAATTTGTCTGATTGCATTTTCAGGAAAAAAATGAAACTTAAACAGTTTAATTTAAGAATTAAAGTAAACCTTTACAGAAAATGAAATGAAAAATTAATAAAAACTTTTTAAAAATATGAAAACAGACTAAACTTTGTGTTTTAGGCAAAAATAGGCAGCAACATTAAAATAAGCATTTTTAGGCATTATAAAATACCACCGTTTTGGTCTAAATGTTAGTGAAAAGTGTTCATACAAAATCTTAGCCATGTATATGCCAAGAAAAAATATAGGCATTTGCCTAAAATCCACTATGGCATTTGACTGAAAGCATAGGACCTGCTGACTATAGGACCTTTTACTCATGCAGTGATATTCAATTGCTGATATTTCTCATTGATAGATTTGAATAAACATGATTTTTACTTGTATTTGTACTGATAAGTTTGAACTATTCAAAAGTAGTTGAATATCTGTTCTGTTCATAGTTTTTAATATTCATTTCTTTCATTAAATGATTATTATTGCTGTTACTTTAGAATTCAAGATCTCATAAAATTACATAAATAGAAAGGAAATGAATTATGGTTATGAATGCAACTATCCTTTCATATTATTAACATTTACAAGTGAGATGTCTGAGAATGTAAAAAATTTATATTGTAATCTGTTGTAAGAATTTGGTTATTAAAACACAATAAAACTATTTCATTATTAAATTTAGGTCCTTTTAGCCCAAAAGTTATTATATAGGATAGTTTCACTGAGTTTAAATAACTAGATAGATTATAATGATGGTTAAGCTAGGATAGTAAAGATCTCTTTCATAAACAGCAGTATTATAGTGGTACATATATAACTATAAAAATGTTGAGATTAAACAAGAAGAACTAATTGCATAATTAATAATGAATAAATGTATTGGGTTTTTCAGAAAGTAATTTTGTTTTTTTACCACCAGAGGAATTAGTTGTATTTTTACTTGCCAATTTCATTTTAAACCATATCATCATTATATATTTTTACAGCTGACATTTCAAGGCTTATTTGTAAAAAAAATTTGTTTGGTTCTGTGCAATTGTTTTTTTTTTTGATGTCTTATCAAATATGGAAAATTGAAAGCAGCATTTTTGGCATATTTTGCTTTTTTATTACCAAAAACAAAAATGCTGTTCAAGCAAGAAAAAAATCGTGTGACATGTATGGAGATGATGTGTTGACAGAATGACTGTGCCAAAACTGGTTCACAAAATTTCGTTCTGGCAATTTCGATATTGAGGATGCACCACATTCTGGAAGGCCAGTTCAAGCTGATGAAGAGAAAATAAAAGGTACTGATTGAAGCAAACCACCAAATAACAACACGAGAAATCACTAAGAGATTGAATTTGTCAAATTGAACTGTTTATGATCAGTTGAAACAACTTGGTTTCATTTTAAAACTCAATACAGTAATGCCTCGACTCACACTACCCCGACTTACGTGAACCCAGAGTTACGCGATTTTCAAATCTCGCCAATTTGTCTTTTGTTTGAGCACCACGCAACTCTTGATTACTCACTCCCCCCACACTATTGTTCAGCTTACACGTTCCTCACTCCCCCCACACTATTGTTCAGCTTACACGTTCCTCACTCCCCCCACACTATTGTTCAGCTTACATGTTCAGACATGTCGTGCGGAATCAATGCATAGCTACAATTTATTTTGTGTTATTTATTTCTGTGTTTGTTATATCTACAGAGACTTGAGAAACTCTACTATGTCATCCAAACGAAGTAGAACTGATTCTTCTGCATCAAACAAGAAAACAAAAACTTTATCTTTGGAATGTAAAGTTAACATTATTAAAGACTTTGATACAAAAATGAAAATTTGTGAATTGGCAAAGAAGTTTGATCTACCGGAATCGATGGTCAGAACAATTATAAAAGGTAAAGAAAAAATTCTCGAAGCTGCGAAAAATGCTCAATCTTTAAATTCAAGCATCATTCGTAAACGTCACAGTATTATCACTGAGATGGAAACAATTAAAATTATGGTGTAATAATCAAGTAAATGTGAAAAATTGTGTAATAATATAATTTGTTATACATATGTATTATCTTAAGATTTTATTAAACATTTTTTTCTAAATTATTGCTTTCTTTAGTCTCCAGCCTCAATTAAAAATTATTTGTATGTATTTATATGCGAAATCATACCCCGACTTACGCGATTATTGCTCGGTCCCACCTATCGCATAAGTTTGGGGTATTACTGTATATGGATTTCACATGTTCTTAAAGAAAGAGATGCCCTCTTTGATAGGATTTTAAGAGAATTTTTTTTTTTCAGATTCTACCACACAATTCCACAATTGATTTGAAAATGTACTGCCATCAAATGGACATATTGAGTGATACCATCAAACAGAAAAGGCCAGAATTGATCAACTTAAAAGGGGTAGTGTTTCATCATGATAATGCCAGATCTGACACAAATTTATTAATTTGTCAGAAACTGTTACAGCTTGGATGGGATATGCTACCACACCCACCATATTCAGCAGATCTAGCACCCTTGAATTATTACTTGTTCCAATCTTTACAAAATTTTTTAAACAATAAAACATTCACTTCAAATGAGGATGTCAAAAATGACTTCGATCAGTTTTTTGTAACCAAAGATCAAAACTTTTATGAACGTGGAATCATGCTACTATCAGAAAGATGGCAAAAGATATTTGACCAAAATGGTCAATATATAATTCAATAAAATATTTATATATTACAAAAATTTTTTTTTGTGAAAAAAAAACAATGAATTACTTTTCAAACAGCCCAATATGTACTGTACAAAGACAATTTGTACAATAAATCTCAGTTTTAACAGAATTCAATCAATAAAATTACTTTTGGCATAACCAATTAAGATAAACAACTAAAATTTACAGGATAAAAACAATATTTATGTTACTTTTAATCTAAAGGGTGCCTTTTTCTTTTAAAATTGACACATTAGAATTCGTAAGCAGCATTAATATTGGTTTGTAATTTTTAATTATTATATCTACTTAATAATGAAAATCAATCACGTATTACTAATTTATAATTTAATTAACTTTAAATTATGATCAAATGTTTATGATCTATTGTTACATCTGAATAACAATTTATATGAAATTTCATTAGAACAAAATTTTTCTGTGCATTATATTTATTTTACTGCACTTAAGTTAAGTTGTAGGACAGACGAAAGGATAAAAATTTTGAAATAAATATACGAATTTTACCATAAGTAGATTTATATGCGAAATGGGGGAACCTCCAATTACTCGAATCACTAAACTCGCGTGTGTATAGCAAATATAGAAAGTTTCGTTTTTAATTTATATTTTGTTTGTATCACTTAAAAATGTTTTCAACTACAAAAGGATATTTTCTTCTCGTAGTAATTCCAATTCTTTTTGTAATTTTTCATCTAAACAGTTGCGAGTCGATAACTGTTTTTCGGGCTGTTCGTCGTAAGAATTGTCACTTCCGACAGAATCGATAACAACTAAATATTCCGCAGATTCCTGAATTAAGAGTTCAGAATTTGATTTATCGTCAACATTTTCCACCTCCTTCGAACATGTCCCATCGTCGATCTCTGTTCTGGCTTTCGCCATTTTGAATTCAACCTTTTATAAGGGAAACGTGTTGCCAACTCACAACATACGGTACGTCATTAATCCAGCATATTAGCTACAATTATTTTTAATTATTACAAAATCGCATTATACTAAACTGATTTAAAAAATTCTCAAATAATATATAACGAAAGTAGTAAGTTGGTTACGGTAATAGAATGAAGACTATTTTAAAAGTTTATCAGATTATTCTATACTGTTAACTTTTTCATACCGTAATTATTAGCGAGGTTGTGGCCGAAGTTTTCATCTGTAAAACGTGAACGTCGAACGTCGAGCGCCGCTATCTTGTAAGCGGCGCTCGACGTCCGACGTTAACGTTTCAGAGATGAAAACTTCGGCTGCAACCTCGCTAATGTTCGCTTTTTCCCCANTCATCTGTAAAACGTGAACGTCGAACGTCGAGCGCAGCTATCTTGTAAGCGGCGCCCGACGTTCGACGTTC